TTAACATTAGAAAATTGTTAAATAAAAAGGCGAATAATGGATTTAGTTGATGAAATAACGACTATAATTGAAATAAGACGTTTCAGTACTCGAGGAAGATATAATTTTGTCACTAAGGATATTATAAGTAAAAAGAATTTGGAGCTAGAGCTGCAGGCTAAAGTTTTTCCTTGTTCTGGTAATTATGTGTCTGTTTACATCACAAAAGAAGAAGCAGATAAATGTATGCTTGCTGTGGACATAAAATGTGTTGTCTGTGTGCTAGATTCTGATAGTTCACGGAGATTTTCTAAGTCATTCGAATTCAGAAATCATGACAAGGCAGATGTTTTTATATTTGGCTTGGAACAGTGCTATAGTCAAAGTACTTTGCTGAGTAATTCGGCGGAGCTCTTACCAGACGATGTTCTATCTTTGCAATTGGATCTGACGTACGAGGGTAGAAGAGTTTCCACGCCTATACTAAACGTAAGCAAAACATTGAGGTTCTTGGCGGACAAATACGTGTATTCTAGGCAAGAATGGTTTACAATCGAAACGATGATGGGTGATTGTCATAATATCTATTTCGAAGGAGGAGTAAGCACGCCAGGTTTCAAATTATGTGAGGCTTCTTTAGTTTTCGATCGAATGCTGAAAACGCCAATGCTTGAAAAAATAACCAAAAGAGTGAAAATTCCTGACTTTGATGCCGCAACTTTATCGCTATTATTGCAGTTCGTGAAGAGTGGAAAAATTAAATGGCCTGAAAACATAAAGAACGTGTATTTTTTATACGAAATGGCGGATAAGTATGCTGTTACAAATCTAACTCAAGAATGTTCGCGTTATCTAGGTAAAAAATTAAATCGAGAAAACGTAGCTGATATATCCGAACTCGCAATTATGCATAATGATTATTTCTTAAAGAAAGATGTTTCATTGTTTTTCATGGCCAAAGGCATTTTATTAATAGGGAAATTAATGATGGAAATCGTTTATGCATTAACTAAGGAAGTAAATCTCAGAATAAATGTTCCTCAATGTTTTATGTCTGTTGGTCACATTAACCATGTTAATCACTTGAATAAGCATGTTATTTTGATTGAAAATTTTGAAGATTCTTGCATTCTCTATAGAATTGCTGATGAATTCAGAATGAACGACATGATGCAAGAATGCTCACGATATATGAAGCAAAACATTCAACTAAAAACCTTCAAGGTTATTCTAAACCTCGCCAAAGAATGCCGCAACTGCAAACCGTTAGCTTTTATATTAGATTTAGTTTGTCAACGCATCGATCAAAATATTGCTCTTGAAAATCAAACAATGTTCGACTCCATTCTTTTAGGAGATGATTCTTTAAGTTCTTCAAGTTCAGAAATGGCATTATTTAGTTGTATTGAAAGTGTTTGCATTCTTTATAAAATGGCAGACGAAATGGGAATAGATAAAATGATGTTGGCATGTGCGCAGTATTTGGAACGAAAAGTTGAACCAGTGCACGTTAGAACTGTTGTACGTTTCGCCAAGGATTGTATGAATCGAAAGCCTCTTGTTTTTCTTAAAAACTATGCACATTATATGGATCAAGTCATGGTGGAGGAAGTTCTGAGTCATACTGAGCCATTGCCTTCTGACCATGAGGGTACATTAAATTTTACAAACTCTGAACCGTTACTTGACCATACATATGTTAGTGACGAAGCGTTCGATAGATCTGAATTTGACTTTTATCGATGAATTCTCAGAATACGTAAGTTTTGCTTTTAAGTTTGTTGTTTTTATGTGATGTATTTATTTTATGTAACTTGCATGGGTTATTCTCACTGAAAAGGTATAAATAGACTAAAAAAGTTTCTTAAATTAAAGTAATTAAAAAAGTGATAAATATTACATAAATGCCTTTATTTATTTTTGTTATATGTCCTTATAATAATGGTCAAGTTTTCTATTTTATTTTTTGCGAGATTTAAAATATTTTATATTCTGCCTTATCCAAGGAGGAGATGTAATAGTCAACGGAGGAGACATTTTATGTTATAAAGTATGAAATGTCAATGAAGACTAATTCATTAATTATTGGGTACAACTGATATGAGTTTAACATTAATAAGTAAATAATAAAATATTTCATTATTATAGATAGAGCTATGAAAGGAAATGAAAGGATGCTGCTATGAAAGGAAACATCCATTTTTAACCTAGGGGTACAATTTTTTAAGTAACTTTTACTGAATAGTAATAAATTGAAATGTAGAGACAATTGAAATAAAAATTCAGACTCCGCATGAAAGTTGAGTGTCGAGGGTACTCTTTTATGAACATTTTATACAAGTTAAACATACTGTCTTCCGAATAACGTTTTTGTTTTTTCTCTTTTCTTCTTGTTATTGTTTCTTTTTTCCCTGGGCACGAACTCTGTCAATTTCTAGAAATTTAAGTACACTGAATCACGATTTTTCTGTTAAATCTTTTTCTGATACAGATTTTAAAGTTTATTGCTCTTTTTTTTTTTTTTTTTTTTTTTTTTTTTTTTTTTTTTTTTTTTTTTTTTTTTTTTT